AACAACCTATGATAGGGTTTGACACAATAGAATTGGAATATGAATCCTCCACTGAGGTCAATAATGATCTATATATATCTAGATCTAGATTTTATTAGAACAAGTGAGTCGGACTTGAATGAATCCACACTATCTGAACAATTGAATTAGTGAACAAACGAAATTCAAAATGGCCGCTCAAGCACGAAACTGAAAGTCCTGAAAGTAGATAATTTAGGTCGTCGTCCTTTTTCGCATTTCCACTCGGATTCTGACAATTATGTCGGAAGCGCCGACGCCGGCAGTCGGCACGAAAACGAAAGTGCCGACAAAGCCGACGGGAGAAAAAGGGGGCGCTGGCAGTCGGCCAGGCCTCGCACTACGCACATTGACTGATACAGGTGGGCCTAGCGATAGCATCGGCCGGCTCGCGGGTCGGGTCGCGATGGTCGGATTTCAGACGATTGTCGGCAAACACGCAGGTCGACAATTCTGGAGAAAGCGTCGCCAAAGGAGCACGTTCTCCGTAGCTCCTGCGCCGTTTCCTTTATGGATTTTTTAAACTTTTACTTATGTTTTATTTTTCTAAGGTAGGGAAGAAAAGTGTCACCCTGGCAGAGCCCTTTACCAGGGAAGGGACAAGGGATGTCTTTACAGAGTCCATACGCCAGGTGTCGTCCCTCTTGCTTACCAGACGCCCATGACAGCGACTACCGAGTCCTGTAGCCATTCATCCCATTAGCACATAGATAAACCGTGAGATTAGGATTTGTGTAAGGCTGATTGACCCACAGTCTTGCGTCCCTTTGTAAGACGCTGAGCCGCAGGACTGGTGTTTTTTATCGAGGTATTGCTCTTCTAGATCCTCTGTGTTCTGTCCCTGAACCGTATGGTTTAGGTTAGCAGGCGACCCCTCAGGAAGGATGTGGCTTTTCACTCACCCACAATGGTTTTGAGCAGTACAGAGGTTTGCCAGATCAAAGTGGATTAACAGCTGGAAATGCACGTCACTACCATCAGATAAATCTAGTGGGACCTGGAAGAGAGCAGGGGAGCAGCAGGGGTGATCACTTCCCACAGCCCTTAACCTGTTCTGCCAAATAAGATGCTCAAACAGTGACTGGAAGGCGACACAGATCAAATGTGAGTAGTCGTGTTTGTTTCAAGGGCAGTCCGTCTCCCCCTCCCCTCCCCCCCCCCCCCCTCTGCCAAAGAATGATCTATCAGGCTTAACCAAACCCTCTCAATTTGTTAGTATCTTCCATGGATCAAGCAGCCGATCAGCTGATAGCTGCATACAACACCTTTTGAGCGGTTGAACTTCAGGTATTGTTCAGGTACACATAGAAACTGCCAAAGGTCGTGATCTTCAGGAGTCCTGTCACTTCTTTTTCAGATGCACACTTCATTAAGAGTGCATCAGAGGATAGCCTATGGAGGTTGGTAGGGATGCATGCCAGTGCAATTCTTAGTATGTATCTCATTGCCTGTCTTAGTGCATCTCCAGTCTTGAAGAGATATAGATCTGATTCTCTTCTGCGCATCAGAGCCGCGGATGGTCACGTACTGCCACTCCAGTAGGCTCCTTGGAGGAGGGAGGGCAGCAGCAGCCGTAAAGATCCTCTTTTCCAGGGCTGGTTGCTTTGCTCGGCTCAGCAGCTACACCCGCTTCCTTAAGCAAAGACTTTTTAAGAAAGTTGGGAGCTGGAAAAGGGTTAATTGAAGGATTTTCCATGCGTTGGAGTGATCTGTTTCAATACCGGGGCCTCTCACCTGCTACGAAGCCAAACAAGGCGACATCCCTTGTTGTCCAGAGTTGTGCCAAAGCTAACTTGGTATTATACTCTCTATGAGAGACTATCAAGACTGACCCAAGAACTGACTGAAGGGGTTTCAGCTCCCAACCATTTGAGTGGCATGGGCTGTGCCACCCTCCAGTCAAAGAGGAAAACCTGGGCCAAAGACGTGTGTTGGCGAGGGACAGTACGCAGACTGATCTCGCCTCAACTACCAGGTACACAGTTTCCCTCCGCACAAGTCACACCTCAGTCAACGAGGTACCCACTCTATGGGATCGGGGATCTCAGTTTTGCTGAACATGAGGTCAGCAGTGGGAGAAAAGATAGAAGGGAGAGGGAAAAAGAAGAGGAAGATACACCATAAAAGATGTCACACATGAATCCCTGGGGATTGGGGTCCATGTTCAACATCTAGTCATTGGGGGTATTTCACCCCTTGTAGACAGGACAGAAGTCCTATCCATAAAACGAAATAATGACCCTGCTGGGAGGGGGGGAGGGGAAACCTGTCACTCTATAAAACCAAAAAAATCAGGATTTCAGGGGGGAAACAATCGGGATCTCTTATTTTGTGAGGTATTTCACAGCTTAATCGGGATCTCTTATTTTGTGAGGTATTTCACAGCCTACACATGACATATTTATTTCATTTCTTCCTTCGCCATAATGGCCTACAGTATTGCGCGTTTTCATTATATTAACACAGTAGGACTTTGATCGCTTATACAAACAAAACATACCTCAATATCACACCTTTCTGCACTTATGTGTCTAAATACCTCCCCCCCCATTGCCACACTCCTAACACTAGACACTCGCTACTCACATGACATGATGTCAAAATGTACGCTAGAAACAGTTTTACTGACGGGTCTTAACAACGGACCCTATAAATCAGGACTCAGAAGAAGCTTATATTTAACGCAATGGCAGAAGGATGAATTGTTCATTTGTATGTCACATTTGTAACATATCAGGCCATTATCGGACTACGGAGAATTCTGGGTCATAACAAAAAAAAAAAGCAAAAGTATATCCGAGTATCCATGTCTGAATTCCAAATCAATGCTTCTCCGAACACTGTTGAAATATCATGTGTAAGTCAACTACTAGATATGGCATTGATATTTAGAAATTAGCATTCAAGTTCCTGCTGATTGAGTCTAACCAGCGCTCCCAGAAAAAGATACGGCAGACAAAACACAAAATCAAGATACACGCGTATTTGAAATCAGGATGCTTAAGGTTTGGTACCAAAATAAATCGGGATCTCCCGATTAAATAAGAATTAGTTACAGGTCTGCGAAGGATATTTGATAAAAACGATGGAGCAGAGCACCAGAGCATCTGCTAACTACTTACTACCCTGAACATTGTTAAGTTATTTTCATACAACAATTTTGAGGCTTAACTTGTCCAAGTCTTTTTATATATATATATTTTTTTTTATTATTTTTTTCAAAAACAATTTTGGGACCTTGCTGGTTACTGAAAAGTTATTTTCATACAATTATGTGGCTTTACAGCATTGGAATTATAAGCCGGACGATCCTGTGATGTGCCTCAACATTATCACTGACTACACGAAGACAATAAATGAGTATGTAAATTATTATATCATTATGCAAATTCTTAAGGGAAGACCCGGGTCGGCGGTCCAAGGCAATATCGATACAATTTTTCAAACGATCCAACTTTTGTTTTTTGCGGAAAAACATCCTTTGACATCTGTTCTATGGAGTCAAAATGAAAAAACTGTTGAAAAAACACCCTAAATGACCGAAACGGGCATTTGAAAAGTGCAAATTGCTTTAAAAATCCTTTTAAAAATCCCTGTTTTTTCTGTTTTTCCCAAAATCTACTTTTTGACATATGTGACCTCCTGGGTGCAAGGAGTTTTCAAAAACTACAAAAGCTAGAAGCTTCAAATTTGGTGTACAGGTGCTTTAAGATCGATTCTGGGGATCTATGAAAGGGAATTGTGAAACATTGGTAACGTAAGGAAATATTCAATTTTTTATAATATGTACCCCGAAATTTCGTCAACTGACTCTAGGGGGTCCACTGACTTTGGGCTCACTATTTTAGTTTTAAAGATAAGTCAAAATCCTTTCATAGATCCCCAGTTCACATAGGTTTTTACTTGTGTGCCAAATTTCAGACTGATAACTCAATATTTACAATGAAATTCTTCTGCACTACGAAACTGGTTTGAAAATCCAAGATGGCCGCCACAGAGACCCATTTTTTAGAAAAATTCAACAAATTCACCCTTAGTACATCCTATTTACCTATGAACTTCTTGCACAATTACTTGAAATTGAATAAAAGTCATTCGTTTAGAAAAAATTTTCCGGGAGTGTACGTCTCCCCTTAAAGCCCAGCTTTCTTCTTGATTTGCACAGGCCTAAAATGTTCTAAGGTTTGAAAAGATTTTGAAAACCTTTTCAAAAATGTATTTCAACCGATTTTAATTTATTTAATTTAAACAGCAAATTTCAGCTTTCATGGCTGTCTTATTCTATAAGGAAAATCTATTTCCAAGCACATTGAAAATTTTCTTTGATTTACCTATTAACAAAAATGATTTAAATTTTCTAAGCATTCGAAAAAAAACCCAAAGCTAAATGAAGAGTCCAACTTTGATTTCATGAAAAATGTCCTAGCCAAATGGTTTGCATTTACCTGAGACTGCTTTTAACAATATGTATCATAACGCGATGGAATCTGGCGCTTGTCAATTTTTGGGCACGAGAAGTTATTGGCATCATCTTAAAGCTTGTTAATTTGTCTACTTTTTTATGATTACTTAAATAAAAGTTGAGATATTTACAATTGAAAGAGGTAGGGAGGGTGGGGGTTGCATTAGCAAGAAAATGACCCCCGAACACAAAATTTACATTTTTTGTGCCTTGAAATCAGTATTTTTCAGAAAAATCAACACAGAAATGTGTTTTAGATGGAAATAAAAAAAGGTGTTAAGCCAAGACAAAAATCCTATATAAAGTTGTCAAAACTAAAGGTGTTAAGCCAAGACAAAAATCCTATATAAAGTTGTCAAAACTATCAGAAAAAATTACAGTGTCTTTAATTTGATTATTTTTACAAGCGCCTGATTCACCACAATGCTTCACATATGGTTAATGTTCTACTCTAATTTGAAAAACACAAATAACAGTATCGTAATAAAAAAAATGGTCTGCTCCATATATAAATCCTCACCAGTTCTTGGATCTGGATGTCCCAGATGACCAGCCCCATCTTCAGCCCGCGTAGTCCCCTTGCCCCGTCTTTCTTTAGCGTATGACTTCTTTTCTGTTGTTGTACTCGTAATTGTCACATTGATTGTCTGAATGTTTTCCTTATTGGAGATCACCACATTTTTACTGCTTCTCGTATTGCTGTCACCAGCATCACCAGTACTCGCTTCATCGTGGGGACCTCTCTGCTTGGCTCTATCTTCTCGAGACTGGTATGAAGCGTTAGTGTACTCTTTTGACTCACGGGTCCCATTACTTCCTGGTACTGCATGCTGCTGCAAATTGCGATAGTGTGACTGCTCCTGATTTTGATAAGTGCCTCTCTTGTTCCCACCAGCATCAGAAAGCCGTGCTAAGTTTTGATCAGCTCTGCGCAAATCATGCTGAGGAGTCTTCTTGTATCCATAGCCTGGGTTTGAACCATGGTTAGTCCAGTTAAAATCATCGCCTGCACTGGACCCTTGATTCCGCATGTCTCCACTGCCTCTATACTCAGACTGAGCAGATCTCCAATTGTCCTCCTCTCCTCCCCTCCTTGCATTGTTGTTATAAGCACCTCTACGTTCATTATTATTTTGCTGGTATCGACCATAGTCTTGCCTCTCTTCCCTCCTGTATGAATCTTGCTTCTGGTTGTATTTTTTGCTCTCATTCTTGTAAGAGTCTTGTGGATTCTTATTTCTTTGTTCATCCCATCTTTCTGTCTGCCTTGAAATTTCTTCTAAGGTGGGGTAGTCATTTGTGGCCCTAGCATCCTGGGACCTGAGCATGTGAAGAAAAGGAACAACATAGAAATAAATGTAAGAGCTTTTAATCCAAGACAACTCATCAACATGGCAATGGCCATAAAATACTAAATAAGCAAGAAAAGAGACACATTCTATGGAGGTAATTTGGTTTTCTTTCTTTTTTTGTTAAAGAGCATGTTATCACAACTCAAATAAAAGGATTAATAGCTGTCTCTGACCTTAACGGTACAAGGCAGCTTTGTTAATATTAGGACTTATGAATTCAAACTTTCCTACATTACTTTGTATAGCAAGGACAAGATCAGACTGTATTGAAATATTGTGTAAATGTCAGCATTCCTATGATAACGGTGGCCATCTAGAAAATAAACACAAAATGTCCCTTAACAAACTATTTCACATAGGAAGATAAAAATGGTACAGAACATTAATGATTAATTTTAGTGTAAATCTGGGTAAGCGACAACTCTATTTCACAAAAATCTAATAATTTGCGAGGCAGCGTGGTGAAATCAGACGTTTGTCATAATCAAAGTGAAGAAAGTGGCATTTTTCCCTAGGTTTTTAGTTTTGGTAGAGTTTTTACGGCGCTCGCATAAGGTCATATGAGCGTCAAGGGGCGGATGTCAACAGAGAAGTCCATACAGGAAATCAGGCTTACCCTGCGCACCTCTCTAGTTTCAACAGCCTGCTTCGACTTTCAAGGCACCCCGGAAATAGCGAGCCACAAGAGTGTGAAGAACATACAAAAGAAGTAGAGGCAATGACGATAGTAAGGATTAGGAAAGAAAAAGAGCAGTTCCCTGTTGCAGTTCAGGCACAGTTATGAGCATGACATTGATGAATCAGCCCATTTACAATTCTACTGTGCATAACAACATGTAAATGTCCCCCTTTGGGAATGGCATTAAGTCAGTAGCACCGCCTCGCAGGTTTGAAAAGTTTTATTTTATCTATTTATTTTTTTGGGGTCTCAACACCTTTCATGCCCATTAAAGAACACATTTCTGTGTGGATTTTACTGAAAAACATTGAATAAAGGCACAAAAACTTAATTTTCATTTGCCATAGACTCTCAAGCTAAGAAATAGCTCATCTTTGGAAGCCATTTTCTCACTAATTTTACCTCTGAAACCAGGTGACCCCCACCTCCTTCATTCACAAATATCTCAACTTCTAGATAAACGGATATTTTTTCATCCAAAGCAAGACAAATGAACAAGCTTTAAGATAATACCAATAACTCCACATGCCCAAAAATTGACGAGAGCCTGATTATCTCCACGCCGCGACATTTATATTTCTTTGTGGAATTTTGACATTTCTGAATTCTAGGTGTTGGTGGTTAATTTTTATCCCAATTTTTTTAAATGGAAAGCTGTTAATTCTTTTTGTCTCGATAAGTTATCGAGGAAAAACCAGTCCATTACCCAGATTTACATCTTATCATAATATGTGCACAGTTTGAAGGCTATAAACGTGATATGTTCTTTAGCTGAACTGGACATTAATTATCCCCTCAGAAAAATCAGCCGTTAAGTTTTAGCATGAAAACCAACAACACAAAAAAGGCACTGTACAAAGTAAAAAACTTTTTGATGTTTTTTACAGCTTTCTCATTTTTAAAACACGATACTTTTCACCCGAATCAGTGAAAATCGGTCCACTCCTCAGCTGCCTGTCTCCTTAACACTTTTCACCCAGCAGCGCTCAACACTTGTCCCCATGGACAAGGACACAGATGCGGTAAATTGGTATTATACCTGTATCTCAGTAAAAATACCCCAACCATTATTAAAATTTCGGCATACTGAGAAAATTAGAAGTGATGATCGCATGTTCACCAAAAAAGGAATTTAGAATCAGAACTGAAAACATTAGATCTAGCTCATTCATCCCCCGGATTCTCATCATGGAGTAAAACAGCACTCATGCTAGGTCTACTCAATATTTTTCCAAAAAATCTACTCCAATTGCTGTATACAAACTGATTTTCTACCTCAAAGGCTACACAAACCATTCAGAAAAGAAATTTAACTTTAACAAGTGTGCATGTAAAAAAACAAGATCATTGCTACGTTTTTGTTGCTATTTCACACTGTCGCCGATCGGCGTCCCGTGGGCGCGACAAAGTGTTACATAACGAGATGGGGCCTTAAATAATGAGGCGGTCATTGTGTCTCGAGGCTGGAAGCCAAATCTTGTCTTACACATAGACCACAGGTCACATTGCAAAATGGGACCACACTGAACTATCACAATACTCCTTTTCACAGAACTGCCATTCTATGCAATCTAAAAAACAGGATTTCAGGGGACAAGGATTGGGATATTGAGAAAAAAATCAGGATCAGCAACAAATCATCATGCCGACTCAAAAATTTCCAAGGAAGTCCATAAATATATTGTGCACACGCGTGTGTGTTAGGGCTGGATTCTGCTCGGTTATTCGGAGGCTTGCAAAGCAGCGGACGGCTCGCGCTAGAGGCTTGTGCTTTGCTTTGCCTCCCGCTTGCTACCGGCGGGAACTTCCGGTGAGTTGTGACTCACGGACAGTCCTGCTGTACTGTGTTGTGACGCTGCGAACCTTCGTTGCTGCGGGCTCAGTACATATTACAAAAGATTCTCTGGTTATTTGTGTTGAGAGGCTTGCACCAAAAGTGCAAGATCGTTTGTTTTTTTACATAGTTCGGTTGTAAAAAACAAAAAGCTCTATTCAATGCACTTAAAAATTAATATTGGATCGGCTATTCTTACGATGTTAAGGGCTGTTTATTTTTAATGTGCACGAGCCAAGCGCTTCATCGTCGCACGCAAAAGACATCAGTTCGATTCCCGTATGGGGAGAAATTTTTACTGAGAACCTCCGTCTTTCTGCTGGGGCGTTTTTCCCTCTCAGCCCAGGTTGGTCCTGACATTGGGTTGAAGTAGGCCTAGCCTGTCTCCTAAATGATCTGTTTTATGTCACTGTGAGTGCAACTCATCTGCAAAATAGGTTACATACATACGATACAAAAGCCAATCACAACGACCCCTGGAGTTTTCCATTCTAGGGTAATCTAAGTCTACTTATTCTTATTACTACCAGAAACCTAGGTCTCTGTTACTACATTACCACGCTCCCTCTCACTTATCCACTCGCTTAGCTGATCAACGGCGGGAAGTTAAAATTAACTTCTCTCTCTTCACCAAAACAAGCCCAGCCTCTCCCTTCCTCCACGGTTCAAAGTTCACACAGCGAGCGGTACTACTGTTTGAACACATTGAGCGGTCTTGCCGCCATAGAGCGGTCCTGCGGCGTGTCGCTCGCTCGGTGTATCGAGACAGCACAAGTCAACAGGTCAGGTTTCGAGCTTGTCCTGGGACAATTCATTAGGCCTAGCGCAAATCAGTACTGTTTGAATCGTGGGGCTTGTTGCTGCGGACGGGATTTGAGATTTGCGGCTGTCCGCTGCTTTGCAAAGCCTTCGATTAATCGAGCAGACTTCAGAGCTACGCCGCGCAGTGACACTGTGGGCGGGATCTCTCACTCTCTCCTTCTCTCTTTTTCTCACCTAAGTGGCTTCCAGGATTGCAAGCAGGGTGGGAATGATGAAGGGGTCTGACACGAGCGGCTTCGCGGATTGCTAGTTGCTGTGGACTTACAGTTTGCGCTAGACTCAACTTATCATGCTGGTGATTTGATTTGATGATTTGACCTAGTGATTTGAGGCTTGTGACTTGAACTAGGGGCTTGCGAGCATGAGCGGGTTTGCTACCGGGGTACAGCCCTAGTGTGTGTGTGTGTGTGACAGAGAGAGATCATTATTTCATTGGTGAGTATAGCTGTACCCCGGAACTCACATACCTAAATTATGTCACCTGATGCAAACGCGATTGAAAGTATTAGCGACGGGTCTTGATGACAGGCCTAACTAACCATAACTCGGATGAAGCTAGTTTTGAAAGTAACTGCAGAACTACAAATATCAATCAATTGTAGGTCACGATTGTCACAGTTATCTGGCCATCATCAGAGAAAGCTGAGTGGTAACAAAAACGAAAGTAGATCTTGAGAATGTCCCAAGTCAGAATGCCAAATCGATCCTACTTCAATTGTAGTGGGAATAACACGTGCGCGCAAAGATACAACACAACTCAGGGCAAGTCAACTACTAAATCCAGCATCGATATTTTGGAAAATAGTGCTCTAAGTTCCAGCTGACAAAAAAGTTCAATGTTTGTTTCCCATGACAGAAGGGGGCAGAGTAAGTTTTTAATTAAGTTTTAGTTTAGTATGGGGTTTTACGGCGCTCGCAACTGCATAAGGTCATATGAGTGTGTGAAACAAGGTTTTTTCTCAAAGGTTCATTTCTCGGCTTGATACTGGTCAATATTTCTATTTTAAAAATTTTAAACGCTAAAAATCGAGCGTAAATAGGCTTTAGATTTAAATTTAAATTTAAAACAACTTTCTAAATAACGCTGAAAAATTTTGAACAATCTATTTCATAACTTTCCATAATGGCCTTTATAAAATCTAAAATTCTGTTGGGAACAACGATGGAAAAAATATCTTGTAATTTTGTGCATTTATAATATTTCCTTCGGGTCTCTCCGAAGTCTAGACATTCGGTTAAAATGTGTCTAAAGGTAAAATCTGTGTCGCATCCGACACACGGCGCACCGGCAGTGGAATTTTAGTTGCCGCGGGGGGTTCCCCGCCAGGCGCCTTATCAAGTCGGGGTAACGGGAGTCAGCTCCCTGTCGCCGCTCTGTCTGGGCCGACTTAAATTTCGGTACTTTTTAACGTACAATTTTTGGTGTATCCTTGTATTTATGGTAGTTCTCCTTTAGTGCACCCAAAGCATGCATTTCTGCTCTTGAGACTCAAAAAAAAACCAGACATTGTAACTTGTCTGGTTATTTCGTTAGACGCGCTGGAGTCAGCAATGCTAAATTTATTTTTTTGGGGACTAGCGGGAATGAAAAAAAATCAATATAAAAAATAGGCCTCGTCAAAATCTGTCTAAC